AAGAACTTTTTTTTTTTTTTTTTGTGAAGATAGGGGTCTTACTATGTTACCCAGGCTGGTCTTGAACTCCTGACTTTAAGTGATTTTCCTGCCTTGGCCTAAGCTTTGGGATTACAGGCATGAATCACTGGGCCCTACCCTTTTATTCTTTATTTAATCTCATTATCTTAACAGGGTTTATTCAGATAGTATGGGGGAAATCTCAAATTGCATTAATTAATACATAAATAATTTCCAATCTCATCTCATCTTATTTGAAATAAAAGCTGAAGTATTTATAACAGCTATAAGGCACAGCGTGCCCTGGCACACAGTGTCTCTCTAAACTTATCCCCAGCTACAGTAACCCTGTCGTTCCCCTCCAGCCATTTTGGAAATGCCAGGGTCACTTGACCTCAGGGCCTTTGCACATAGCTTGTCCCCTTACCTGTAGAGAACAATTGTTTCACTAAAACTCAAATTTAGCATTTTTAAAGCACTGTATTTACAATGTTTTGCAAAGTGCACTAATTTACTTAAAACTATTTTTCTAGCCCATCTATATGTACAAACAAATTTGCCCCAATATATTAGAGAAAGATCTTTAGAAGTTGGTTTAGCTCCTTAAACAGGTCACCAGCGACTCCTGATTTCTCTCCCACCGCCACCATCCTGCCCTCTCCCATCCACAGCCTGTTCCATTTCAGTCACAGCAAACTCCATTCCTCTGATTGTTCATGGTAAACAATTGCAAACAGCAAAGCATCTTTGACTGTCCTTTTCCTCTTGTGCCTGACACTTAATCTATTTATAGCAAGTCTGGCTCCAGCTTCAAAGCATTTCATCTCTTCCCTGCTTCAATCTAGTCCAAGTCACCACTGTCTCTCATCTGGATGATCACAGACCCATCCACAGCTCATTTTCCACACAGCTGCCAAAACATGACCCCTTTGAAACCCAAGTCAGAGCATGTTGCCCCCGTTTGTAAATGCCTGAAATGACTTCTCATCTCCTTCAGAGTAAAACCCATCATCTCTGTCACGGGCTAGAAAACCCTAGGTCATCTGAGCTTCTTTCTCACTTATTTAACTCCACCCGCCCTCACCAGCTCACTCTCCTTCAGCCACACCGTCTGCTTTGTTGTTCCTCAAGGAAGCCAGGCCTGTTCCTACCTCAGGACATTTGCACTTTCTGATCCCGCTTACTGGAGCATTCTTCCATCACGTCTGTATGGCTGATTTTCTTTTATTCTTTTTCTTTTTTTTTTTTTTTTGAGTTGGAGTCTTACTCTGTTGCCCAGTCTGGAGTGTGGCCACTGCAGCCTCGACCTGCTGGGCTCTGGTGATCCTTCCGCCTCAGCCTTCTAAGTAACTGGAACTACAGGTGCGCATTACCACGCCCGGCTAATTTTTTGATTTATTGTAGAGATGAGGTCTTGTCAAGTTGCCCAGGCAGATCTCGAACCCGTGGGCTCAGGCAATCCACTCACCTCGGCCTCCCAAAGTGTGGGATTACAGGCTGAGCCACCGAGCCCGGCCAGCTGATTTTCTTCACTTCTCTGTTCCAATGTTGTATTACCCAAAAATCCTTCCACAGTTATTCGAAATTAATAATTTTTCTCACACAACCCCACACTCTTTATCTCTTTTAATATAGTTAATACATGCATTTGCCACATTCCTAGAGGCACTTATGTAATACATTGTGTATTTTTAAAAATTTCTTTATTTTTTTGTCCTCCTATGGTAGAATGTAAGTTATATGAAGATAGGGACTTTGTTTTATGCATTACTATGTCCCCTGGACCTAGAATAACACCAGATATGTAGAAATTGCTAAATAAACATTTGTTGAATGTATGTAAGAATGAACTAAAACATGCTTTCTCATTTTCATGAAGATTTTTAGTGTTCTGAATACACAAGACTTATGGTTTTGGACTCTAATGCTAGTAAAGTTATATTCACTTTGTTCTTTTTTTCCTCTCTTATTTTTTTTTTTAAGTGTGGGGTACTATTCAGGGTTAGATACATATGTGGTCACTGCACAGGTAAAGTGTGGGTACCTGCCGGGCTCGGTGGCGCAGCCTGTCATCCCGCGCCTTTGGGAGGCTGAGGTGAGTGGATTGCCTGAGCCCGAGGGTTCGAGACCTACCTGGGCAGCAAGACCTCTTTTCTACAATAAATCAAAAAATCAGTCGGACGTGGTAGCGCATGCCTGTAATTCCGGCTACTCGGAAGGCTGAGGCGGAAGGATCGCCGGAG